AATATTTAATCCATTGTGTCACCAGAATTATAGTGGCAAAATATCACAGCGCCCCCAAACTCACTGCTATTGAGTCAATTCTGCCTCAGAGCATATTCCTGTAGAGCTGGCTTCAAACTGCGAACCCTGAGGTCAGCAGCCCAACCAAATAGCCACTGTGCCAGGGCTCCTAGTCCACAGGCCAAAGTGACATTAAATTTCATTGTCTCTATTTCTCCACTTTGAAATCAAGTAAAGCCTTGTTACCTTAAATGTCTGAACAAGTCTAAGTATGTCCCTGGGAAAACTATTTGACTCCTCCTCACTAATATATAAACTAGAAAAAAAGGTGCTTTTGCCTATGTAGGGAGTTTTCCTCCTACTTACTCAGCATTTCCCTTTTCCTAATATTTTTGATATTTTCTGAAAGATGTCAGGAAGTTTAATATTATTAATAGTGGGGTTGCTCAGGTTTCTAGCCCCCTTGTTAACATTTACTTGCCTTATAATTACTGCAAATAAAATTAAATCCTGGTTTTATTAATAAGTTACTCCTCATTGCAACCATCAAAAAATAACATAAAATGTAAGCTTTACAGTCTAAAATGGTAAATGAGTAGCAATTGTATACTAATCTTGAGTTCGTAATGCATAAAATATTTTCAATATTATTTTGGAGTAAAAAAGCTATTGTATGACCAATAGCTCCTTCTATACATCTTCATTTCTTAACTAAATGATCTTTAAAGTCGACTTCTCCCAGTTAACTGAAACTGAATAAATATAAGTTCAAACTCAAAATGAGAATACAAAGAGGTGGCCATGACTCCCATTTTATGAAGATAAAAAATGTTGACAATATTCTAGATCATTTCGTGTTGCAATCAAATCACCGGCCTTTTATTCCAAACTCATCTTGAAATTTTATGTGTCTCTAAATCTTTAGTGTAGTTTCTAGATCAGAAGAATAAAGAGGGGGCAAACAGGGGGAGTTTGAGAATCTGAAAAACAAACAGCCACAATTTTTCAATTACAGGGAAAAGAGGAAACATACATGTTTTTGCTTCCAACGTGCCCCGCGCCAGCACTTAACATTGCGAAAATGTGAGGTATTTTCCTAACTTAAGGAAGGGAGAAACCTTAGCTCTCACAGAGGTTAAGAATGTCGTCACCCACTGAGTGCTAGGGCCAGATTTGACACCAAGCCCGAGAATGAACAGGCAACTCTACGAGAACCTCCAGCGACGAGGACAAGTACTAAGGACACTAACGGTGTACACCTGTCACACTGAGTTAGGTTCCCACAAGTCCCAGTCCGCTGCAAGGAACCAATGTCCCTCCATTGCGACCGCGCCACCGCCCCG